GGAAGCCCTAAAAGTGTATTATCACTAACGGGAGAATTGAAAGTAAGTTTCAATTCACAATCGATTAGAAAGAGTTTTAATCGCCCACTGCCTCGCTAAAAGGAACCTAATGGATCGTTCACCGAGAAGGTAGAGTTTGAAGAAACAACGGAGATGAGTAAGAATAATTAAATGGTTTAATTATTTATCTAAGGCTAGGATTAATTAATATGTTAATTAATCAAACGAATAAGTTCGTTAAAGACCTCGGGTTAGTTTTGGGCCGTAAGGCCCAATGGGATTTGAATGTCAAGCCCATTAACTCAAGTTGTATGACAACTTGAATAAACAAAGGGCTTGAAAGCCCAATAAACCCTATAGGCTTGCCATGTTAGAAGAATAGGGCTTTTGGTCCATTAGGTCACTTATTTGAAGGGACTATATAAAGGACTTTATAGCCTAAAATTTACATATGGTAATTTTTGGGGAAAGGATGAGAACACAAGCTCTCCTTTCTCTCTAAAATTTAGGCCACCTTGGAGGGATGATCTAGCAATCAAACTCCTCCAAGGTCACTCATTTCTTCTTCATTATGCCTTGGTGATGAATAATTAGAGGTTCTCAATTTTGGGAACTTGGAGAAACCTTTTCATCCATCCAAATCCATGGATCTAAGATGCAAGGAATGAAGGCCCTCTCTTTGGGTGATTAGCCTTTGCTTATGCAAAGAGGAATCTACAAAGGTATTGATTTCTCAACTCACTTTGTTTTGAGTTGAGTCTTGGTTCACCTATCTACTAGGCTTTGAATTTCATGGGTAAATGTTTTGTTTTAAGTGCATACAAGCATGATTCCGCCTTTAATTGTTAATTGCATGCTATTGATGTTGCTTAAATGAACATGTTTTTCACAAATATTCCTTCAAATATGTATGAGATTTAGAAAGTATTCCAAATCACATTCAATGTAATCATATAAGTAAGAGAATCACATTGGATAGTAGACATGAATAAACTATCAAACCAAACAATGTGATCAAGAGTATTGTGTTAAAGAAATACCGTTTTGCATTATAATTCTGAACACCTCTTCTGTTTAGCTTGGGTAGCCATGACATACTGCTAGGTGTCACTCATGGCTTGTGGAAGCCTTGAAGATGTATAATCACTAAAGAGAGAATTAAAAGTAAGTTTCAGTTCACAATTGATTAAAAGAGTTATAATAGTCCACTGCCTTACTAATTAGAACCTAATGGACCGTACACCATATAAGGTAGAGATTGATGAAACAACATAATTGAGTAAGGACAATTAAATGGTTTAATTATTTATAGCTATGATTAATTAATATGTTAATTAATCAAACGAATAAGTTCGTTTTATACCTCGGGTTAGTTTTGGGCCTCGATGCCCAATGGGGTTTGAATAGTCAAGCCTAATGACTTAAGTTGTATGACAACTTAAATCACAAAATGGCAAAAGGCCCACTAACACCTAATGGCCAGCCATAAAGGAGAGTTTGCCTTAATTAGATTCATGCCACTCAAGTGCGTTGGAATAAAAGGAAAGTTATAGGCCAAATTAGAGAGAAAAGAGTAAAACACAAAAGCTCTCTCTTCTCTTAAAAGGCCGGCCACCCTAGGAAGAAATGCACTAGTATCCATTTCTTCCTAGGTCACTCATCCCTTCCTTAATGTTCTCCTTGGTGTGGAAACTTAGAGGTTCCCTTTCTTGAGAACTTGGAAAATCCATTCCTCCATCCATATCCAAGAAGTCATGGAGCCAAGAAGCAAAGTTCCTCCAACCATGGAGCCTAGGAGCAAGGAGACAAAGGAAAGAAGGCCCCCATATGGGTGAATATCCTTTGCTTAACAAAGAGGTGCTTCAAAGGTATAAAAGTTTCTCAACTCTTTTCTTTAAGATTTGAGTTGAGTCTTGGTTCACCACAACTACTGGTTTAAGTTTTGTTTTAAAGTGCATAGAAACATGCTTCCACCATTTAATCGTTAAATGCTTGTATTATATTGCTTAATGAACTTACACTATGTTTGGATGAGGGAAATAAACTTGGAATTTGGATAAAAGTCAGAATTGTAAATTGACATGCATCAATTCACTTGTTTGGGTTCATAAACATAAAAATTTAGAATTTCCGCGAGATAAAAAAACTTGGAATTTGGAACCTCCAATTCCCAAGTTTAAATTCCATGTAAATAGGTGTCATTTCCCAATTTTATGATTGAAAGTTTAAAAATAATAAATTCTGCGTTCAATTCTATTGTTCTTTTAGATTAACCAAACAAGAAAATTCACAAATTCTAGAAAATAAAATCCCGTCATTTCAATTTCCGTTATTTTAAAATTTTTTAGTAATCTTAAATTTCTTCATCCAAATATAATGTTAGTTTTTCACAAATTTACCTTTATATCTATCGCCATAACAAGTAAGAAAATATTGTTTGATTTTTTTTTTTTTTCGTTTTCAAATTTATAATCTTCATGGAATTCCTTTATTTAATTCAGCCATTATACTATTTTGGATTACTCTGTGTATTTGTTTTTAGACTAGGTTAAAATAGAATTAAAATGCGATTCCTTTGATCTAAAATCACTTATCGTTTGGTTTTTTTTTTTTTTGTTCGTTGCTTCCATTTGCACAAAGATGAAGACATCTCGGACACCTTCTGTGATTTTAGAAAACTTGAGGGTGAGATCTATGTAACGAAATAGTTGTTTGGAAAGTTGTAATGGGATGCCAGTCTTTTTTTTTTTTTTCAACTGATTTGAAACCATGTTTATCTATTTATTTATCCATGTTTTGTTTGTATTGGATTTGTGGCATGCTACGCACACGCTTTAGGTGTTCACATAAATTTAGTGCCTTGACCTCGCACCTTTGTAAGTAGTTATCAAGTTGACAGCCTTACCTAATTTAATTGATATGTTTCTATTTCCATTTTGTTAATTTATATATTTATAACAGCTAAATGTTTTGAAAATTTAGTGTATTGGTGATTCTTTTTTAATTAATCAATCGTTCAGAATATAGTGCATTGAAAGATATAGGTTTTTTTTTTCCTTTGTTTTTTTATTTTATTTTTTTATTTTTTTATTTTTTTATTTTTGGTTCTCCTTTCATTATATATATATAGGGGGCAGATCCGTCACCATATTTTTTACACAAGATTTGATACAAATCTTAGATCATTAGTTTCTTTTATTTAAATAATTTTGCATTAGGTTTTTTAACTTTAAAAAAAATGAATTATTCTCCCCTAATCTCTTTCTTCTGTTTCCTATCTTTTCGTCCTTTGCATATTTGTTTGCTCCCTTTCTTCTCGAGTCGTGCTCTCTCATTTTCTTTTCTCTACTTCGTTTTTCCTTTACAAGTTTTTTTCCTCTATCCTTATAATCACATGTCTCATTGCACTACCATAAGGCCATGAACCCAACTTAAGTAGCAAAACATATATATATATATATATATATATAATTGAGTAATTTGAATTGTAAAGAATGAATACTTCATTCACAATGTCTATTTTCCGAAGGTTAGGTAAAGAACCTAAAACTTGGCAACATATTATTTGAATTTACATTTTATTTCAGGATGTTCAGAATTTTAATTTTTCTAAAATCTCAAAAGTGTTAATATGGCTACATATTTCACATTGAGTCTAGGATGCATGGACACGGACACGGATACGGCGATACGACACGATACGACACGGGGACATGTCAAATTTCTAAAAATGAAGACACGATACGTCAAGGATACGGCAATTAAAAATATATATAAATAAATAAATATATCTAAAATATTATAAAATAAACATTCAAATTTATTACTCAAGTTTAAATTTATTTCAATAAACTCCTAACAGTTAGAAAGATAGTCCATCCAACAAGCAATTAGTCTTCAAACTTGAAAAATTAAAATGAAAATCCAAACGAAAATTAAAAAAAGCAAAGTCTCATTCAACTTCCACATTCATGATGTCTCCTCCAGTAACTAAAGTAGTCTCCAATGACGGTTCATCAAGTGAAAGGTTAGCTATTTCAAGCATCCCAACACTTTCTTCACCCAAGTTTTCAAAGCCATCTCCTCCAACATCCCACAATTGGGTAATACCTTCCTTGTAGGTTGAGCTATTCCTTGATAAAAGACAAAGATTATTATGCACAAATACCAAATCCTCAGCTCTTTGTGGTGTAATCTTGTTCCTTCTTAAAGAGTGAATAAAACTATAAGTGCTCCAATTTCTTTCACAATAAGAGGAGGAACAAGGTTGTCCAAGTAGCTTCAACGCTATGGATTGGAGACTAGGTGTAGAAGCTCCATGGACAATCCACCACATCACTGGTTCCAAATGAAATCTATCATTCATAGAATCAATAGCTCCAAAGTCATTCAAGCACATAGAGAAAGAGGCATACTCCACATTGATATTTCTTCTAATTTCCTCATTGGAAAAGTATCTCTCAAAGCACTTTTTCCTTTCAATTGTAAGTTCAACATCTCGGTGTGGAGCAAGACGACTAGGGTCTTCTTGGAGCCATTATGAACTATAATACCTAAAATAAAAGAAATAACAGTTTAAAAATGTACTCATAAAGCTAAAAATTAATCTAGAAGAATTTATAAGTAAGTTAGCAAAATCATTACCTTGGATTTAATGAATGTGCCAAACAATGAAGTGGTGTGCTACTTTTAGTCCATCGCTCCAATAAAATGCGATACACCGCATCAAAAAAGCTGCTTTTTTCATGTAATGCCTTGCGCTCATTCCTGTATATAGCAGCTTTCACCTTTTCAATCATAGCATCCCACCACTCATACACCAAGTGAAGACAAGGTTTATCTGTGTCAGCCATTCTAATAACCTCATATATTGGAGCTGTAAAGAAAAGAATATAATCAATCTTCTCCCAAAAATCCTCATCCAATATCTTTTGCTTCACCATCATTGCTTTAACCAAATCATCTTCTTTGTACAAAGCCCAATTCAGGCTAATCACCATTTATTGTAAACCTTCCTTTATTTCCTTCAATCTTCTAAGCATCACAAGTGTGGAAGCAAATCTGAAAAATTTAAAAATTAGAACAACTTATAATTAAATAAGGAAAAAAAAAAAGTGGAGAAAACAAACCTTGTTTCGGCAATGGAAAGTAACTTTAGTTTGCAATGTTCATTAAACATGGACAATCTCATGCTATGGTTCATAATAAAATTTTTTATGGACCAAGCATCACTAGCAATAGTTGAAATCCAATTGCAGTCATCATAGGAAACTTCTGCTTGTTTCGGAGTACATATACTCTTCAAAGCAAGATTAAGAGTGTGAACAACACAGGGTGTCCAAAAGATATGGGGATAGTGGGCCTCAATAAGTAACCCAGTAGCTTTACAAACAGGGGCATTATCAGTGATCACTTGAACAACATTTTCATGACCAATTTCTTTAATAGCTTCTGTAAGAAAGTTGGCAATACAATGATTGTCTTTGTATTCACCTTCACAATTAATTGCTCTCAAGAACATTGGCCCACTTTCACAAGCTGCCATAATATTAATAAGTGGTCTCCTTTGAGCATCTGTCCACCCGTCACTACAAACACTTACACCTTTAGTGCTCCATGTGCGCTTGATTGGTTGGAGGCACCGCTCAATGTGACTCTTCTTTTGTTGCAGAAGAGTAGTTCTCAGTGCGTTATAACCTGGTGGAACATACCCTGGAAGTGTAGAAGCACGAACATATGAGTTCCGATAGTGCGGATTTCTTGCAAGGTTAAATGATAAGCCACCTGTATAAAACATCCTTGCAACTTCGGCATCACATTGATTTCGAGCCTCCTTGTTAAAAGCTTTACTAAGAGGCCCACTTGTTCCCTTTCTCTTCTTTGGATCAAGATTTGCTTCAGGTAGATCATAACAGAATGAACCAGTATTGGGCAACGAAACATGTTTAGGAGCAGAACTCTTCAACTTGTATTCACACTCTCGAACTAACTTATTCATTTCCGCAAGAGTTTCATCAGTAACCTTGTTGTAAGGCGCGATCCCATTTCCAGACATTTTTAACAAATGAAACTTGACCCTAGAGTAGGATCCTTTATAAGTTTTTTGACAATAATTGCACTCAAATTTAGTATTTCCTCCTCCTCTATTTCCCACTTTTTCGAGCTTTTTGACATACTTCCACAGCGAAGCATTATAATTTTCAACAATCTCATCCAGATTAGCATTATCATTCACATGATTATCAGGGTGATTCATTTTCCTAAATTAACAAACATATAAACAATAAAAGTCAATTCATCGTACAATTGTATAGACAAAGACTAATACATGAAAAATTTATATTAACTTAAGAAATAAAAAATGCATCATGAAAGCATATACATAAAATATTATAATCTAAATATCTAGAACACTGTATTCCCAATTTACATAACAGATTAAGCTAAATATCATGAAAGCACAATAATATCTAAAACAATGTATTATAATCTAAATATCATGAAAGGCTATTCCAATAAAAAACTGTTGGCGTAAGGCTGGAATCTAATAATAATATTATATACAAAAAGCAAAAGGCCCTTTTCCAATCAACACTCATTGAATCAGTCAAAGGCTCAAAGCAAAAGCCTTTTAGCTTTGAAATTAAAAACAGTCCTTTCAGCTGCTTTTGCTTCGAAATTAAAAACAGGAAAGCAAGCTTCCTTTCACCTTCAAAAGCAAAATAGGAAAGCAAGCTTTCCTTTCACCTTCAAAAGCCTTTTAGCTTCGAAATTAAAAACAGGAAAGCAAGCTTTCCTTTCAGCTGCAGAGATGGGTTCTGCTTCTAGGAATCAGATTGAGCTTCAAAATTAACATAGTGAAAACGAAGTCGAAAGCTCTTACCAGCAGTTGCAGACGGAGACTATGGAGACGACGAAGCAGTTGGACGGAGACGACGGAGCAGTTGCAGACGACAAGTCTGATTTCTGAATTCTGAGGTTTGAGTGAAGAAAAATAGGTAAATCATTATTTTATACCCAAAATCGTTTTGGTTTTAGCCAAACAATCGTTTTAGTTTAGCTAATTGGAATCAATCACGATTCTGTGCGGATTTCTTGATTTATTTTTTATTTTTTTTTCTTCTAATTATCCTCTGATTTAGTTGGATTATCCTCTGATTTAGCTGAAAACGTATCCGAAAAGTGTGATACGCGTATCTCGACAGTATGATACGCGTATCTCATCAATAAACAACGTATCCATTCATTCTGATACGTATCAGGCTCGTATCCACATGTATCCTATGCGTATCCATATCCCTGCATGTCAGATACGGGATACGGTGGCTGTTACCCGTGTCCATGCATCTTAGCATTGAGTTAGGGTCTGCAGTCAAATAATTAATATCATGTGATGCATAAGCTTATAGGCTGCAACAATTTCAATTATTTCTTCAATAAATGGATGGTTCCTGGACGCAATACTCTGTTGCTAGTTAGCTAAGTTGTGCAACATTTTATATGGATTGCGATTCCGTATGTGTTCAAAACATCCAAGGGTTATAAGGAATCGGGTCTGAATAAAGAAAACAAAAGTTTAGCTGGTGTAGAAATATTCGATCACCAAGATGGAGAAGAAATTTAAAAACAAAGCAAAAAAAATTAGAAAATAAGATAGCATGGCAATGGGAGGATGAATGGAAAAGAAAGAGGGGGAAATATCTGTACATAGGATGAACGATGAAGAGGAGAAGAAAGAGCCAAAGGAGAAAGGAGAAATTGGAGAAATTAATGAAAAAACAATAAATGAGATAGGAAAGAGAATATAAAAATCTTAATTTGGTTTATAGAATTTTATTCCCAATTCATAATTATTTGAATAAAGAAAATTAATTGGATAAATTAGATTACATCTCAACCATTAAAAATGTACACATCATTTGATGATCCAAGACTTGTGTTAAACCTTTTTTTTTTTTTTTGTGGTGCCATATATCCGCCATTTATGTATATGGGATATGATCAAAGGACAAACATTTTTACACTCCTTTATAGCCTTTAGATCTTATAACGTTCAATGGTCTAGATTAAGAGTGTTGTGAAGATTTTTAAACATTAAATGATTTTGGATGATTATGTGGATTATAAATTTATAAGTAATAAGAAAAACACTAATTTGAATTAATTAGAAATACCAAATAAAATAAAATTGAAAAAAATAAAAGAAATCAAAATTTAAACTGATAAAAAAAAAATATAAAACCCACAATGAAGAACACCCAAGAAGGGTGAGGAGGCAGACACTACTATGAAACCATTTATTAATGTCGTTATGATAACCGACAAGAAATGTATATTACTGTTGGATATTAAGCAAAATTCAACAGAAAATGGATGCAGTGACGGATATAATAAGCGACAGAATTGCCAGTGTCAAGAAATGAATTTTCTGACAGAAAATACTATCAAATCGACAGAACTTGTATCAGATATAACCAATAGAGAATATATTAATAATGAATAAATAAGAGCATTTTCTGTCCAATAAAACTGACAGGGCACAATTTTGAAATCTGCTCAATTTAAAATATTCGTTTTCTCGTTTCCTTTACGTACAATGTCCTCTCATTTACAATGCTTCTATTCTTGATTGTGTACTTCACTTTTCGTGTGAATGCAAAGTGGTAAAGCTTGGGCGGTGCAATTGCTGGCAGCAACCAAAGTAAATTTAAATTGACAAATCCATTCTTAATCCGTTAAAAAAAATATTTTAAATTTAATTGAATACATTGAATTTGCTTGAATGTTTACACCAAGCCAAACCAAATCTGAAAAATAAAGTGAAAGAAACAACAAACATTTGTTGACAACTTCATCTTCCTCAAAAGACTTGCACCTCATCCCAGACTTGCTACTCACAAACAACTTCATCTTCCTCAAAAGACTTGCATCTCACAAACAATTTCATCTTTCTCAACTTCATCACAATTATTCAGGGCAGCATGCATACAATAAAAAAAAAAAATACACGAGTATAATGAAGACTATCAGATATATGGATACAGAGACCATGCTCATTTTGGGTTGAGCATTTATACCTATATTTATGAGATCTGTGGAATCATGGTTGCCGCTACTCATTTTTCTTGCAAATCTAAAGTCTGACGTTGCTACCATTCCTTGTGTTTGACATCATCTCCGGTCATCGTCTACAACACAAGCTCATGGACTAGGCTTGAATTTCACTATTGCATTTGTGCTGGAATTAAGAAATTAATGAGGAAACAAGATCGATGCATTTTACCTTTATGCGTCGGCAAACCGAGACAGCTAAAATAGGTAAGCTAGGCTCAGGTCTACGAAGAAATGAAGGTAGATCTGTGTTCAGGTTTGCAGGTTTCAGAATATGGAGTTGTAATACGAAACCAGAGAGAACTGATGGATGCTTTCGGCTTGGATGGATTGGTTTGACAGAAAAGATGGAAGCTTTGGTTTTGATTGCTGGCGGGTAAGGTTTTTCTGAAAGCAAGAGGAATGGAAGAAATTGTAGGAGAAAGTGGAGAGAGATGGGGTAAACAGCGCATGAGAAAAGGGAAGTTGATAACTCAGCTTATATACTAACTTGCTAGGGTTTCTCTCACACAGGAATCTGAATGAACAACAAATTGAAAAACTTTTGGCGTAAAAATAATAAAAAAGTCAATTTCTGTTGTTTATAACTGCCAGAATACTAAAATAATAAAACAGTCAATTTATGCCGGTTATAACTGCCACCATTAATTTAAAAACCACCAGAATAAGTTAAAAATATTTAAAAAATAATAATTCAAAAATACTGGCGGTTGCATCCGACACTAAATATCTGCCAGGAATTTATGTCGAATATAACCGACAAGATTTCATTGTTATCCAACACTAACTGAAAGATGTGTCGGATATCTTTTATCCGACATAATGGCTTATTAAACTGCCACCATCATCCGACACTTAAAGCTAATATTGTAGTAGTGAGATCAATGTTCTCGCGCCTTCACTACTTGAGATACTCTAATTTGATTGATACGAAATTTTGATGCACACTAGAATGAATCAAGCTTTTAGCCTCTTGAATCTTCTTAGGAAAAAAAAACCCTAAGTTCTAAATTTTCAACCTTTGACTCCTGGATTTCACTTTTTTTTTTAATACAGTGCAAAATGAATGGTTGATGAGTTTGTGGCTGCATAAATCTCAATCCTGCTTGGCTCGATAGGGTTTTGCTATGGCGGTGGCAAAGTGATTGAGTTGCTAGCCTAGGACAAGGGTGGTTAAAGTCAAAGCAAAATCCTAAATTATTCTCAAAGCAAAACCCTAAATTCTAAATTTTCAATCTTTCTACCTGGTATCATGTTTCTTCTATTATAATTAGGGTTCTTCATTTGAAGGAAATAAAGACTTTTCATATAGAAGTTGCAGACCTTTTTGGCAAAGATGGAAATAGAAATTTTTTTTTTGTTTTTGTTTTTTTTTTCTTTTTTCTTTTTTCCTTTTTTTTTTTTTTTTTGTTTTTTTTGTTTTTACACTAGAAATTTCAAAGTTTGATTATTTCTTTTTTAATTTTTTAAATTTAAATTTGTGTTTACCTTATTAGTTATAATCTATATCATCATCCAAGTCATTAGCCTCCAAATCACTCTTAATCAAGATCGATGGATCTTATAAGATCTAAAGGCTATAAAGGAGTATAAAAATGTTTATTAAAATCTTTGTCTCGTGATCCTATCTCCCTCTTTCTCTCTTTCTCTTTCTATATATATATATATATATATATATATATATATGTTGTGGCCTATATTTATTTGAGGGGTGCGGTATAGAGAGAAAGAGAGTGGAGAATAGGCTTAAGGAATTGTGTGTTAATTCCCCAGTCCTTGTGCCTTTATTTATAGTATTGAGAAGGAGATAAACTTGCCCTCCAAGTAACACAAAGTTTATTAAGAAAGATCTTCTAGATCCCAAAGGATTCCTAATCTATCTCTACTTAGGATTTACACAATCCTAATATTGATTAGAACATATGTCACAACACTCCTCCTTGAGTGTGCAAATACTCAAGTAGATGGCACATCATTTAGGCAAATGTAGAAGTAGTTGATGACGTTGTCTCATCCAGTTGGCACAAGTAGCGAATGCGAGTCTCAAAACAAACAAAAGAATGCATGGGGGGTAAAACTCACAAAACCTTGCTATGGCAAAACCCAAGGTGGGACAAAAGCCCATAGTCAAAGGAGAAAAGTGAGAAGTTGCATTAAGTCAAAACTATACGTCTTGACGATGCAAGTAGGACGTACATAAAGGTATGAACAACCCAGGATAGGTGCCTCGTCAAAACCTAGTCAAATAGCAGTGGGAAAAATGCTCTTCATCGTACGAAAAAGAGAAGGTAAAGTGAGTATACTTCTGGATACTACCCCTGAGTTTGACAAAACTTCCAAATGAAATTACAAGCATCGCAAGTGAGAAAGTTACACATACCAATTCCTTGGACAAGCTTCTGGAAGGTAGACTTCGGCAGTGACGTCATGTAGAGGTCGACAAGGTTGTCTGGGATCAAACTGCTTGACTTCAATCCTCTGATGCTCATGCTGATGTAGACACAATATGTTTAGAGTTGACTTGTTGGGATGTATTATGATTTGGTCGATACATGCAGCGTTGTCTTCATGGATCATTGTTTGGACTTAAAAATAGATGAAAAACGTAGGGATTTTGAATATGCTCAACAAGAGTTCTCAACCTATATCTCTCACGTGATGAGATACAGTGAGTCTTGGAAGGATTTAAAAGTTTCACAACTAAAGGTTTATCAGGTTGACCTCCAAGATAATGCGGTGTTCCTTAATGGTAAAGACATAACCATGCAAGAACGTACCTTGTGCGGTCAAATAGATGGTTTGATTCAACGAATCCCACAAGGTAGGCATCATTCTTAAGATCAAGGGGTGTGATCTATTATGAGATGCATAGGGTAAGCCCAAATCCGTAGTAACGTAAAAACGTCTTTCACACCAAATTTGGTGATAGCTTGTAGGCACAATGTTGCTTTATGCCAAAAGATTATTAGCACATAAGATGTCTGATTCTAGCGCATTGAACTAAGTACAACAAATGCTAATGGTACTTAGATATGGTTGCCTCATGTTCCAATATAGAAACTTATGCTCTATACTCTCCATAAAGGTTTCATTTGCATCTAGCGTACAGACAATCAGGGTATACTCAGATGTGACACCTTCTGGGTCTAGTTCGACTGGTGAACCAAAATACCATTAGAACTAGCTCGAAACTTTAGATCGAGGTAATGTCGAGTTCTCCCAAGATCATTAATCTTAAAGTCCGACTTTAGGTGCGAGTTAGTTTTCTCAACTCTAGTAATTTCAGATTTTGTACACGCAAGGGCATATATCCCTAACTGATCAAATATTCACTTAGAGGGGTATACCACATCTACCTGGATAGTTCTGCATCCGCAAAGTGAATGCCTCATTAGAACCAAAATGGTGTTCTTGTGGTCTGCAACTATTTGAATCAGTATATGTAAGCCTTTTGGAAACTCCATGTAGGTTTCGTACCAGGATCCCAAAGATACTACAACCACGTTTATAATGCTGCAATCAATCACATGGCGTATGAAAGAAACCTTGCACCACAAAGCGTCATATCCCACAATTTCATTCATCTCATTCGTCATCAATTGATTCTTCTAATTGACCAATTAGTTCTACATCGACACTAATCAATGAAACACAATTTGTTATTGTTGCTTTTCATTTGTGTCAGTAGTTACCATATAAACGAAACATCATCTATGATAATCTCATTCCAATTCCATATCTCATCCAAACTAGTATACTGAATCAAAAAATTCATGTCTCGGGAGTAATTCGAATTTAATCTCATGACATGAAAATGATTTAGACAACGATTGAATGGCAGATTTGTTTGCGCCACATTCCTCCACTTATGGGGAAGTGAATCCTCGATCCGAGTAATCTACCACGTTTCTAGCACATGAGAGATTGATTGGCTAACTGCCAATGTACAAGGGTCAGCCACAGTACTATCCTGCTTTTGGGATAAAAGTCCATTGTACATTTGGTACATTCATCTTTGAAGGCACATTTGCAGCTAGTATATGTGATCTCGTCACTTTTTCTAGATCAGAGGAAATGTCTAGTTATACTCTAACGATCTAGATTGGGATTGAGATGAGATATAGTAGGGATGTCCACTATAATTCACGTCGTTCTTTTAGGAATGTTGACGTTCTTATCTCCCACTAACGTCAGAAAGATTGTCTCATAAAAGTGACAATTTGCAAAACGAGCGGTAAAGAGATTGTCTGTCAAAGGTTCTAAGTAACAAATTTTAGAAGGAAAATCATAACCGACATAGATTCCCATCCTTCCCTAATGACTTTTTTTTTTTTCTATTGTACGTAAGGGCTACACAAATGGCACATAGACCGCACAACCAAAGACCCGTAGATACGATATGTCGAGTTCAGATCTGATAACCAACTGACACGCGCTTTATAAGGTTGGGTCGTGATAAACCTCGGGCGGACCAACATGGTTGCTTGCAATATTGCATGGCCCCAAGGAGAGACCAAGAACTTGGTACGTATAACCAATCGATTGCGTAAGCATTTGAAGGCATTTAATGAATGCTTCTACTAGGTCATTCTGGGTATGAACATGGGGTACTAGATGTTCAACTTTAAAACCCAACCGACATGCAATATCCATCGAAAGTTTTCGATGTAAATTCTCCAACTTATCCAATCAAATAAATGTGATCAGATAATTAGGGTTGTGAGCCCTGAGCTTGTTAATCTAAACCACCAGTGTGGAGAATACAGCTTGTGGACAATAGCCACACGTGTGACCAACGTGTAAAAGCATTAACCAATACTATAAAGTATCTAAATGGTCCACAAGGTGGTTGAATCAGTCCACAAATGTCCCCTTTGAATCCTTTGTAGAAAAGGTGAAGGGTGTTAAGGTATAGTATGCGTCCAGGTATGATGTCTTTACTTCTAGTAAGATGATGCCGAAAACGATGCATCATGGATCATCCTAGATATCCCAAACGTACATCCATAGCAAAAATTCCTTTGAAATCGCAGGATTCTGGCGGGCCACATAGTGGACCTGAATGGGTGTAATCCCCTCGTTAAGCGTTCTATCTTCTCTAGAATATGCTTCTAGCTATATTAGTAGGAAGTGCAATATGGTAATATGCCAAGGAATTTTTCTCCATTTTCTACATTGGTTTCAATATGGTAATAATACTCTCAAATATCCTTAAAGCTCAAAAAAGGCATTCTTTCGAAAAGAAGTGAGTAAAAGGCTTCCCTTTATGGTAAAATTAGTATCATTGAGATAATATAAGATAGTTTCATGGCCCATAATCAGGTTGGATAACCCTAAAAGGTTGTCAGGGGATGATTAGGTATGAAGTTAGCATAGAACTAGACAGATAACTTCCCCACAAAACATACCTAAGCATGAGTTAATTGTAGTCACATGTTGTAATTTTCGTTAATTAACTCTTTATTCAAGAATAATAGTGACATCCAAACACCAATCTTAAATCCGAGAATAAAATAAATTGTTCACAAAGTAAACCAAATATACAAGGGGGTTCGGCCAATACGGCCTTCAATGTCAAATTTCGCTCTTCCAAATGTGTTAGGTGGAGCAAAATTAGTCTCACAGATTGACTATGGGAATGGTACTCCTCAACAACATTGGTAAAAGCACATAAAACTGCATAACCAATGATCTATTCCGTCAAAACGAAGTTAGATTCTACAGGGTTAAGGTTTAGGAATACTACCCCGTATTCTTGAAGTTTTAGGTGCCAAAGATCATGCTTCGGGTGTGATACCACCTCTTGGTGGGCCTAATTCTACCATATGTTGTAAAACAAACTCGAAATTAAATTGTATGAGAGAGAGAGAGACATACCTAGACTTGGGTTCGGTAGGTTCCAGCTGAAACTGGATGGGTATGTTCAGTAGCTTCTGCAGAAGCAAAGCAATACCGTTCGGTGCACCTCTGCCAAAGCAAAGTATGCCCTTCGGTGCATCTCTGCAGAAGCAGAGCATGCATGGGTATATCCTTGCCAAAGCAAGGCACCACCATTCGGTAGACTCCAGCCGAAATTGGGTCTATATTGTTTAGTAGCTCCTAGCCGAATTGTTCAGGTACCTTTCTCTCACAAGTATGGTACCAATCAAATCCGATAATTTAGTAAACTTCTGCTCTCTATACTGCTACTTCAGGAGCAATATAGATATAGAAGGACGAGAAAAATTTTCTTCCAGTCAAAATTCGATCGGACATAAACTTCGGAATTGTACCTATGCATGGAGGTAAAAGTTTCAATCATGTTTTGTTTCAAGCAAGAATTCATCTTCACATGATTTGAAATGGTCCATAGTGAGTCAAAGAGCCATGGAGTCCTCGGCAGTGAGATACTTCCATTTGATATGCTTCAGGCATAAGTGTTCGAATAAAGATCATAGCGGAGGCTTATCCAACTCTTCCACACCATAACTGGCTACAATGATTTTGCAACCAGTCTTAGTCAAGTAGGGTTTCACGTCTCGTATCCACATAAAGTAGTTTCTTGTTTGAAACTTCCAAATCAGTGAAATCGAACTTGTTACGATTCGACAATATGCTGAATGGCGGAAATAAGAATGTGATTGATGTTTTAGGAAATAAAATTTTCATAAACAGCAAAGTTAGAACATGCAGGTTCTAAAACATGGTTTGATTTAAACGGATTTAAACATGGAGAACTTCGGGTTTCAACATGAGTGTTGCGCATTAAGAAATTTCAGGTTTTTATGACACTTTTCTGAAACTTCAGGTTCGGAAGTATGAACCAAAGCCAAAAATGTTTTAGGCGATTAAATTTGGTGGCCCAAAATGGACCAAAGCCACGAGGCTAAAATTTTGAAAAAAATAAAAAATAAAAAAAAAAGAAAAAAGAAAAAAGAAAAGGTCCACAACCAGAATTGGGCTAGGAACATCTCGGGTGGAGCAGGCTAGGCCTAAATGATGCGAGAATTATACGCGCACAAATTAAACCCTCTTTTCGTCAATTGTAGTAAGTATGTAAGTAGGGATCGTTCTGGACCGGGGATTAGGAGGGATTGCTAAAACCTTGGAAACTGACTCAAAAACGTAAAAACAATATAAAACACTAAACTAGACTCAAAGAATGTGAAACTAAACGTTAAAACACTAAGACAAACCAAAAGACTCAAAATGCTTTAAAAACACAAACTAAATTGATTTCTAACTAAATTGAACAATAAAGTAAAGGGGGATTGGATTTGGACGACTTTAAACTAAAAATGGAAACTTGGAAATAAAACAAATTGTAAATATGGATTTGACGGAAATGAATGGATGTGAAGCTAGCTAAGGGGTTCATCTCCACATATGTTATACTTGCATACAAAACGATGTCTAATTGCTTTTCAATAAACCATGAATTCTCAACGCCCCGGGTTAATTAGGTCCGCTTAAATTAACCGTCAAGTTTTCCTTAAATTAATGAATTGGATGATTGCATACGACAATCCAAAGCATTCCTCACAAGTTCCCTACATGAATTGCATAATAGAGATACAAGCAAGAATCATTAAGCATCATGAAAACTATAAGTGTTGACGAGGCATTCGTTACTATGATTGCATGAAACTTATGCCAAGAATTCATTTAACGCGATTGTTTATAAGCAACCTCCACTACTTGTGAATATAAGTTCATAACGATTAGGTGAAAATCACTTATATTCTAGCGTCATATTTATGCATGAAAATTAAGCGCGCATTCTTAATAAACATTCATAAATAAGTTATCAATCAAACGGTTAAACAAATTGAATCCACAACTTATGAAATTCCAACGAAAGTTAATCAATTCATATTGCAAATATAAACATAGTTTCGAATCACCCCCTAGCTAAAGGGGGTTTAGTTCCTCATAACTTTGAAATCAAAGAAACACCTAAACATTCCAACAACTCAAAACTTGAATTGTATGAACGTTTAAGCACTCTTCTCTTCCATTCCTTATACGTACAAAACAAAGAGAATTAAAATGAAACTTTGAAATCAAAGAAACACCTAAACATTCCAACAACTCAAAACTTGAATTGTATGAACGTTTAGGCACTCTTCTCTTCCTCGTTGTTGTAGCACAAGGTTTAAGGATAAGTTGGTTGGGGGGATGGAAGTGTGGAATGGAGTGGAAATGGAGAAGATGGAGAAGGGGAAGTGTTTGTGTATTACAATGGAAAATGAGATGATTTGGTGAATGGAATGAATGGGTATTTATAGGAAGAGAATGGGTGTTAATGGATGTTTGTTTAAGGTATTTGGTGGATGGGAAAAGGTGTGGATGGTGGGAATTATGGTGGATGGATGGTTTAGTGGATGTAAAGGATAATGGGATGGTGTGGAATTAAAAGCTAAAAAAATGGGATAATGGGCATTTAAGTGTGAATGGAATGGTGGGATGCACTAATGGAAATTATGGAATGGAATGGTGGGATGCACTAATTAGGAGGAAGAATTAGGGTGAAGGGCTTAATGCATGGATTTGGGCCAATTAGGGTGAAGGGCTTAATGCATGGATTTGGGCCTAAAATGCCCCCCTTGCATGGCAAGGGAAAGGACTTGGGCTAAAGCCCACGGCAATGACTCTAAAATGGGCTAAGGTTAGGGTTTAGGTGCGGCATAGGCTTAGGGTCCACAAAGAGTTAGGGTTTAGGTCATCTAAAAGCCCAAAGCCAAGAATAGAAACTCACGACAATGGAAACCTCCAAGAATAGAAACTTCCAACTTTAGAAACTTTGGTTACCAATTCCGACTTCCTTGCTCTTCACTTTCATTTCTTCATTTCTTAAGCTCCTTTGACCTTCAACCTCGTTCATTCCTCGTGCTCCATTTGCATACACCACATTCCAGCTCAGTTTTGCTCCAAAAGCTCCCAATTGCATCATTTCATGTAATATGTCCTTTAAACCTGAAAACACATGAAAGTAGCTTAAAAGACTACTTTAACGAATAAAACATAACAAAAATGCATAAGAACTAGCTAACTAAGGCGCATAAATATGCTCCTATCACTAAACAAACCAAAAATAAATGGAGCTGAAGGCCCAAATCAGCAAGAGCCCATGCAAGGGTGCTGATCAAGTGTGGTGTGGTGCAGGGGAACACCAGAGCCTAATTGGGCTGGTGTGATGTGGGCTGTAGACGCAGTGCTGGGCCGCTGGTCAGGAAAACTCAAGGTTGAGTTGCAATGCATGATGGTTCATCGAAGAACCAGTCTCAACGACAGAAAAGGATCCTCGACGTCAGGGAAGGGTAAAATCGAGAGGATTCAATTTGAGGAATCCTCGATTTCAATGAATTTCAAACGGGAAATTCAAGGGGCATCGTCGGAGACAATGATGCAAACCCAAACTAACATGATTGCAGGTTGTGATATCTACAAAAAAAAGGACGGCAAAGCCGTAATCTCAGATTTTCTGGGTTAGGGGTGACACCAAAACAACGTTGTTTCCTAATGTTATCAGAGTAGCAAAGTTGTGCTCTGTTGCATCGCAGCTCCATTTCTGGTGTGGCAGCTCGACTCAAAAGCCTATAGCTCGCTGGGTTAGTGGCTCAGCGCCATATGGAATCAGGGCCTAGTCAAAGACAGGCTGGGTTTTCAAGCCCAATGCGAATTCTAGGGTTTCAACATCCTTTGTTCTTTCCTTTTTCTTCCTTATTCACACATATTCAATTCACATAATAGCAATATTATGGATTAGTTTATGTAGAATCTAAAATTTGTAAAACGTAAAGTTAGGTCATGCATTATGGTGAAGGTTCATGCAATTAAGGCTAAAAAAAATATTGAGGTAAAAACCATTGTTTTAGAAGAACTTGGATTGCGTGATGAACATTGTGAATGGGTTCTGTGTTCAATTTCGACTTTCATCTTCAAAATTTGTATCACGTTCAACATAAGAAAAGAAAAGATATTGAATCAATAAAAGTATATGAATTCAATAAAAATCAAAATTTAATCAACTAAAAATAATTGAAACGTAATACTCCCTTGATTGAAGACGAATAAATTCTCTTTAGCACAGCATGAAGAGCATGCTAATAACGTATTGTGGCATATATTTAACTGAGGGGTGCGTTATAGAGAGAAAGAGAGTGGAGAATAGGCTTGAGGAATTGTGTGTTAATTCCCCAGTCCTTGTGCCTTGATTTATAGTATTAAGGAAGAGAGATCCTTGTTCTCCAAGTAATACAAAGTCTATTAGGAAAGATCTTCTAAATCCCAAAGGACTCCTAATCTATCTCTACTTAGGATTTACACAATCACAATACTGATTAGAACATATGTCACAACAATACACACACACACACACATATGTCATCATTTATTTAACCCTTTAAAATTTTCTACTTGGTAAAATCTCATTGCATTTTAAAATTTGTATCCTTATATATGTCTTTTTGTGTGTACAACATATTGTTGCTTATTTGAATGTTCATTTTAGCTTTGTATCATAGCAATTCCTAAATTCATAAAATAATCTATATTTAATTTGAGCATACTAAATGGAAAACGTTGTTGCAACTCCAATCCATCAATTGCAACCATACAGAAAAGCAATGAAGATAAAAGTTCGGATATGCAGAGTATGGAAGTCAACAATCCCTAGAACTGTTCAGAAGTATACAGCTCTAAACTGTATATTAGTTGATGAAACGGTGAGAATTCACTCTTTAATTAAAGCTGATAGCAAGAAATAATTAACAAAGGACACAATATTTTTGTCTCTAATGCTTTTATACATACTAAATAATAAATCTTAAATTTACTTAGGTGAATAAAGTGTGTACTTAAGTATTTTATTTTTTTATGTCAAATATGATTTTGTTTAATAAAGTTAAGATCACATTTTTTTTTCAACAAAATAGTACAATGTGTTCAGATTGAGGCTAAACATGGAAATCAAATATTTTAAAACAAGCTTTATGTGATGTTTCAAATTTCTTTCATTTTTGACACTTTTGGTTAT